CTACATTGATCATTGCCGGCCTCTACTCTGTTCTATGGGGAAAGGATAAGGCGGCAAAACTAGTAGAGATGGCAGCAGCAGCGGATAAAGAGAGAGAAGAGTTGGAGTTGCAGCCTCAGGCACACGGAAACGGCAACAATGTTCAACATGATAACAATTAAGTACAAGAAAACGATCCAATTTGACTTTCTCGTTTGGTTAAATTACTCGGACCCATCATAATTTAGCAGAAAAAAATCGATCATTCGATCGGTGTCCAAGAGTTACTTTCAACATCAACATCGGGATCCATCGCTAGCAAACTTTGTCCGAACTCACTAGCAAACCAAATATTTGCCGATTAAAGAGTACGTGCGTCTCATGAAGTGGCACGTGAGATGCACGAAAAAGGCACATAAGATGCACGAAACTGGCATGTGAGATGCACGTTCTCCCAACTGATGAAGATTTGGCCGACATGTGCATGACAATGCATGCATGGAAATGGCAAAGAGAAAAAGTGAGAAAAGTAAGAAAGGAGTGATAAGTATCGTAAACATACTAATCGTGTAGAAGTTGGCAATGGAGAGTGGAATGAGCCCATTGGTGCTGGTCACCCATCGCCAAGTCTTCGCCACCCTTGCCACCGCCTCTCTTGCTCTTCTCCGAGAAAGGTAACTCCAACAGCTTGGTCAAGAAACACTTAATTTTGATCTATAGCTTCTTTTGGGGAAAATTATCAAAACAGTCCTAAATTTATTGCAATTATACCAATTCATTCTTAAACTTTTTGCATTTGTGCCATTTCAATCCATCCGGCTAATTTTGGTTGGCCGGCAAACGATGACGTGGCAATTTTTTAAACATTTTTTTCGATTTTTTAATAATTCTTTTCTTTTCTTTTTTCCTTTTTTTTCTTTTCTTTCCCTTTCTTTTTTATTTCCTCCCTTCATCAGGCGACCGGCGAGGTTGGCCCCATCAGCCTCTGGCAAGGGTGAGTCTCGCCTAGGCATGGCGAGGCTAGTCCGCGCTAGCGACGACGAGGACGAGCCTCCCCTGAGAGGGCGAGGCCGACCTTGCCAGTTGCTGGCGAGTTCGAACCTCGCCTCTTTGCCCAATCACTGGTCTCGCAATAATTGGCGAGGACGAGCATCGCCTTGGCTGGGTGAAGCTCGACCTCGCCAAATCTCGCGAAGCTTGGCCTCGCTGTCGCTGGCGAGATTGACCTCACCCAGCGACGGTGAGTTCGAGCCTCGCTAGGGACGAACGAGGTTGACCTCGCCGACCCCTGCTTCTAGCCAGTAGTTGAAGATGAAGGGAGAAAAAAAACGAAGGAAGAAAAAGAAAAAAAATGAAAAAGAAAAGGAAAGAAATAGAATACAAAAATAAAAAAAAAATTGCAACATTAGCATTGGCCGAACGGCCGGCGTCCACGTCAGTGCCGTCTGGCCAAAATTAGCCGAATGAACTGAATTTGCACAAATACAAAATATTTATGACTAAATTGGTAGAAAAAAAAGGTTTAGAACTGAATTTGCATAATTGCAATAGGTTTAGGACTGTTTTGTAATTTTCCAGCTTCTTTTGTGATGAAAGTGCGAAGAAAATGGGTGGTGGGCCAACGTAGTAACTAGTGGACCTTACTGGGCCTTGGACGGCCCAAGTGGCTCAGTCAAGCCCATCATTGGGCCTTTTTCTCGAGACCTAGCGGTGGCCCCAGGACCAACAATGTTAAAAATTGCGAAATCGGCCCAAGTTATGTGAGCCTTTGTGAGGGAGAGCCTCCTAATTATGAGTGTAGTGAACATGGTTCCCACGAGAGTGCAAGCAGTGTAATGCCGGAGTAAATCACGTACTAGCATTCGAGATTTTATTTCTTGCGAAATGAAGTCGATTATTTCCATTTATTTTGTGCCCACCAATCTCTACAGAAACACCAGTTTGTCATTTAAGGGTGTTTACAGTTTTGGCCCGAAGATGGTCCAGCTTATGTGACATGTAAGCCGTGAAAATGGCACCCCAAAATCTTCATAACCAGAACACAGTGATTGAGAAAAGGGATTTACGCACTTGATTTTGGATCCATCGTTCTTGATGCAGAATAGCAATGATCCTGAGCACAAGTGCTTCTCTTGTATTACCTTTTGTATCATTGGTTCAATAAGATTACCTCATCACCATTGCATTCTCTAATTACTCCTTATGTGAGCTTATTTGTGCATCAGGGTTTAAAGGAGAGACTTGAGCACTATTTATAGAGTTTTCAGCCACAGACCCTCTCATCATAGGTCGGGCTTTATTTGACCCACACTAGTCAATCCCATATTAGATTAATTAAGAATCTTTATATCTTACTTTGTTAGGCCAACCCTGTAAAACGATAAATATCAATCTCAATTAATATAATCCACGTAAAAAAAAAACTCTTACATGACATTTGGGAAGATATTGTGCAAGCGATCGAGAACGAGCGAGGCAAGAGCAGTGTATGAGAAAGGTTGCCAAGCTACTCGAGGCGAAAATCCTTATATATGGCAGGTTAGTCTCTCTTTTGTGGTTGAACAACAAAAAGGGGTGGAGGTAAAAGATTCGAATCCTAACATAAATTCCATTGAGATGTGCAAGCCATAATCTGCAAGAATTGTTTCATAACCTGAGGGGAGTATTTGCTATTGTGAAGAAATCTGGATTAACTGGCAAAATTTGGAGCTGTTATAGGTGATTGATATAAAAAGCAATTTGAAACATCTTCTGCCACATCCGAGAACTTTCCAATGCTCTTGTATTTCCTGTCGAAGGTCCCCAGTAGCCGTAGTTGTAGGTTGCTATAGATGTGCTTCTTCTTTGTCATGCTGGATTTACTCAATGAACTTCACTGGCCTATCTTGTTTCCCCTGCTTCAATTCCATTTCTCTTCAAGCAGTGCTGGGCTGCATTGGAGAACAAGTTAGGGAACGTGAGGAGAGCGAGAGAATCGTTTGACGCGGCTACAGTCGCTGACGAGAGACATATTGCTGCCTGGCATGGATGGGCAGTTTGGGAGCTTAAACAGGGGAATGTTGAGAAGGGAAGGCATTCGCTTGCTCAAGGTCTTAAATACTGCGGTGGCAACTAGCATATATACCAAACACTCGCACGGTTGGAAGTGAGATCTAGCCGGTGCGAACAAGCCCGATATTCATTCAAGCAGACAACTAGATGTAATCCTAAAAGCTGTGCCAGTTGGCTTGTGAGTTTTTCTGCAGACCTTTACTACTTAGCTGAGATTTCCTTTTCTCCGTCCGGGTCTCGTATTGTTATCTTGGTTTTGATTATCGAGTTCATGTGAACAGGCGTGGGCACAGATGGAGATACAACTTGAAAACAACTTAGCTGCTAGAATATTATTTGAGGCAACTGTTCTTGTCGCTTGATGCAAGTGATTGTTTCAAACGTTTAAAAGAGAGCGTAGTGCGAATAGCCCGTGGTGTCTTTTATAATTCTCTATCCTTCTTTTGAGATTATGTCATAATGATTTCTTTTCGTCATCTCTTTGTTCTTTTGTTTTGTTAGAGAGCAGTCCAGGCAAGCCCAACAGGTTCGCTTGGCATGTTTGGGGATTTTTTGAAGCAAGCATGGGGAACATCGAGAAGGCAAGAAAGCTTCTGAAAATTGGTCGTGCGCTTAATCAAAAGGGATCCTGTTCTCCTGCAATCTCTTGCTTTATTGGAGCATAAGCACTCAACTGCAAATCTTGCTCGGGTGTTGTGCAGGAGAGCATCTGCATTGGATCCGAAGCATCAAGCAGTTTGGATTGCAAGAAGACTTTTCTTCTTTGTAAGTGCAATCCACTTAGCTCAACTCCTCCAGAGACTCAAAATTCTCTGCCAGCTCCTGTGTTGTCAACCATCTTCAGGTTGACTCTATACTTGGAATTCTGGCATCTTCAGGCTTTGGGGGTGGATGGTGTGGAAAGGAGGAAAGATCTCCACTGCCAGGAAGCTATACCGGAGAGCATCGTCAATTGATTCGACGACAGAAAGTGCTGCTCGATTTCTCCAGGTAAGTAACTCCATATTCACAGGTGGAGCTCTGGCAATGAAGCTCTGTGAGCTTCGTAGCTCCGTAGCTCCGTCTGTGTACTTATACGACGCCCTGGTTATAAATTGCAGGACTGGGGAGTTTCGGAGCAGAGGATTAGTAACCTATCAGCAGCTAGGAGATTGCTTAGATCCTCCCTGAACATAAACTCCCAGAGTTATATCACGAGGATGACCCGGGCATCTCCGGAAGAGGAGGAGCGAAGTAACTCTGTTCGTGCTGAGGAGATTCGAAACTCGTACTTCCAGCAGGTGAAGTAATTCCTTAGCCTAAGCAAACTGGTTTTGATTTATCATGTCTAAACTTCTAGAATCTCTTCATCAATAACAGTTACTGTTCTTTAACTCTCTTCAATTGCCTGCATGAGAAGTTTAGCAGAAACTCAGTTTCATGTACAGTACTGTTGCTTTGAGGTTCTGTTTAGTCCATTAGTGCCATAGACACACGACAAGAAATTTCTTTCATTTATGCTACGGCGAACTGAATTGGTCGACGACGCTTCTCGAGTCACGGGATTCTTGGATGTCATCGACCCTGCACTGGACAGCATCAAGTGATTGTTAAATCTGAACCAAAACTCATTCCAGGTAATCGATGAAATTCGCCATCTTTGATTCTATATCGATTTCTTAATCTGCTATGAGATTTTATACGCTTAACCAGTGATAGAAAAAAAAAATTTGAATGTCGGTTATATTACTTGGACCCATCGTACTTTAGCAAAATTAGTTGAAGAATTACCTTCGAAAATCGGTGTCCGAATCTATTTGATTGGATAAATTAGTTGGTTATTAAGGTATAGTTCTATATCCAAATATCCCAGAAAGCTAAGGTTAAAAACATAGAGCAAAAACGGGGCGGATATTATCCATTTTCGTGATCGGGCGTCCGGCCCGACCCGACCCGACCCGGTCCCTCAAGACTTCTCAGCTGAAACTCGAAAAGCCAGAACTCAGACCGTCGCAAACCGTCGTTTCATCCGCCGCCGCCGCTGCCGACCTCCATCTCTCCTCTCCTCCCATGGCGGTCCCGAGCTCGGCGTCTCCTTCCACCACCCGAAGCCCCGGGAGGGGCCTGGGGCTCTTCGCCAACGCGAGGAAGCACAAGCACAGCTTCATCCAGTTCGCCGCCATGACCGGGATCCTCCTCCTGAGCCTCCGGTCGCTGGGCCAGAAGTACCGCATCCACGGCCTCCTCGAGGACACCGCCGCCCTCCGGGAGGAGCGGGAGTCGCTCGCCGATCGCGCGGGCAACGTCAAGCGCGGCCTCCGGCGCGAGGCGTCGCTGGACCCCACCGGGCTCTTGGCCTCGCGGCTCCGGCTCCTCTTCGGAGACGACGAATGAACGCGGTGAGCGAGCGAGCGATGCTTAGTGCGGTTGGATGATTCAATTTGCCCGCTTCTGTTGCTAGGGTTTTGAATTGCTCTGTGCATAAATGGGGATGCATTTGTTTGATAATCTTCGGCTTCGAGATGGAGTTGCCATTGGAATTAGGAGTGTTTGCATGGTGTGTGAAATTGTTTGGCTTTGCTTGGGTTGTTTTGGCTCCTGGTTTTCAAGGTGCTTCATTTTGGGTCACCCCATTTGATGTGCTTTTGTGGTTGATTCATTGCAACGCCAATTTGATCTTCTTGTGAGAGATAGGTGACAGGGTAGGATGCAGTCGGTGGTAGTCGCGCGCCGTTCTATTGCAAATGTTGATGTAACAAGAATTGACCGAAGTCGCTTAAGCCTCCCTAATGGTCCTGATCCGAGGGGGGTTTGTCAGTGTTCCGATCAGATGTTTTAGGCACTTTGTGATGGCAAAAGGGGTTTCCGAAAGTGCACTGATTACCATGATTAGTAGTACCCTAATGTTTTTATTATAGCTGCGCCTTTTATTGAGATTTAGGAATTTCGTATATGTTCCAGTTGAAAACGAGAATGCGATAGTGAGAGGGCGTTCTGCAGTTATTCACATCATGTAAATCCTCCAACAAGCGAGCTTCTTTCTTATTTCGAACATGCTGCAGTGTTTTAAAGCTTACTCGAGGAAGTTGTCTTTCTTTGTTGAAAGGAAATTTACTCATGCGAGTGAAATTGCTTGTGGGAAAAGCATGTTGGACTTGGATGGTTTCGCCTTTTCATGAACTGTTCCAGATGTTGTGATGTTTATCATTTGCAATTTGTTGTTCCCCTGAAGGTTTAGTATTTGCAGTTGCTTTTCTATATTGCTATGGCCGTTTTGCATCTTCATCGGGTTTTTTCATTACTGTTTTGATTCTCGTCCTGTTTCATGCGAAATTCGACTGGTCAGTAATTGAATATTATGAATCCCGACTTCTGAAAACTTAGGCATAGAAATGTTGTGAGTCAAGCTTGAAGCTTGTAATTTGGTTTTCCTGCAGGTCTTATTCAGCATGCTTTGCATTTCTTAGGAAGAGGTATCGGCAGCAACTAAATTCTTGCGGTTCTTTTTAGCTCACAAGCTGCTGCAACAGTCGAGATGGTTTCTTTCTCATTTGCAGAGTTCTGTGAACGAGGTGTTTATTTTGAAAAATACATGTGGATCTGTCTTGGAGATATGTTAAATGACTTTTGGAAATATCCGACACACGCCGAGATAGCGTACTTGTAATTTGTCGAAGATTGTTAATAAGGTCCATTTGTTAATCATCAGCGAACTGCAGCTAGTGTTGATGATGGAGCTGGGAGTTGGTACCTCAGATAGCCGATATCGGTGTTTTAGTTAGCCATTCCTAGAAAGGAAATCGCAGAAAGCCCAAAAGAACATGTTTAGTGTAGACTTACTTGATTAGCATAATATCATTGCTGGTTTCTATTGTTCTGGCCAGTACCGGCTATGGTAAAGGTTATGCCGATGCAGTAGACATTTTTTGTGTGGCTGTGACCGTGGGGGCTCGGCAGCGGACAGTTGACGAATGTTTCCCGCAAAGGCTGGACATTGCATTCCGGTTGGTTCGCAGATTGATTTGGTCTCAATCTCGTGCTCATCTAGTAATTAGTGAATCATCAGCTAGCAGGGGAATCTCTTGGTTGTGTCTAAGTGATTTTTGTAACACGGGTGTTCTGGCCCAATGAGGCTGCTCGGCACATCCTTGAATTTCTTCAATGGATTGTGTCCCATGTCGGTCTTTAATTCCTTCGAGGCATTAGTTCTCGATGAATCTCGGTCTTTAGACCTAACTTGAATAGGGAAAATTTGTAATGAATATTGTTCAAATGGTGAAGTGGAGCACGAGCTTCCAAATAGTCTTCTCAATCCACTTCAGATTCAACCCAATAACCGCCGCGTCTGCCGTAATAGCCATGGAGAACTGGTGGATGGTTTTGCGAAATCGATAAGAGCAAGCCCGGCCGAGCAAATGGGGACTTTAGCTTTGGTCGAAACCCTAAAGCACTTGCTCAATGCCCACGCGTACGGGACAATCTATGTTCTGAATCTAGTTTTTTGTACCCGAACTCTTTGAGTTAGCTAATGAAAATTGCACTCTTCTGAAAAAAAAAAAAAAAAACCACATCCTCTGTAGGACGGCCAACAACCTATGCATCCTTTTATTTGGTACTCCCGAAACGATACGGATCGAGCCCATTCATTCTCGAAGTTATACATCGCCGATCGCCGTCCATTCACCGGAGGTACACATGCACGCAGGCAAAGAGCGTATAGTCTTGGCTCCACAAGAGTAAAAGCGTGTGACGAATTCCGATTTTGATGTGCTGGGCTCTGTACGCCACTTTCGATCGTCATGTCCGAGTGCGTGCATCCATAAGGAATACGCCTCTACGGCCGCGGAGGACTTGTAGACATCCAGATGGAGAAATTACAGGTGCTATCGAAGCATATGTGATAGTCCATCCAATCAATCATTAGAATGTCAATTGCTCGGAATCTCAATCTCCACAAAAAAGATGGTGAGATCTAGCAACATGTGCTAATGAAATCTAATGATTTCCACGAGCAATGCACACGTGGGTGAGTCTAAAACATCACTTGTGGACACTGTTTTGCAACAGAGTTGGTAACTGTTTGGCTCGCAAGGGATTGACTGGGTGGGTGGGTGGTCACTGAGATCCTTATCCCGATCTTCGCTTTATTCTCTCCATCATGCGGTGTCCTCGGACCCTCAAACGTCCTAAACACCTAAATATAATGATTTCCGCTTACCGATCATTTTCAGCAAACCAAACGTGTATAAAGATTAGGAAATTAATTTCGTGGAAAATTCTTTCGTTCAAATAAACGCACCCTCGATTTGGTTCTAATTTAACTTTCTCCAAACCAATTTCGAATCGTCAAATTAAGATGTTTATAGAATTATCTATCTTATTTATGTCTAAGCACGGTGATCGAACTTAAAGAATATTTTATTTGGGAAGATAAGTTCGTTTCATATATTAATTAAGAGTTAGTATCAAGAAAAATTATAAACTGGTATACATGTGACAAATTTACTCCAAATTAATTTTTAGATTACCAAAAATCCAAAACTGGTATACCTGCGATAATCTACCCCAAACCACCAAAAATCTCAAATCGGTACATGCGTGATACATTTACCCTCCGTTAGTTTTCGTCAAATTTTCCTGTGAAATTGCTAAGCTTGATAACACATGACAATAACTCAGTTGACATGGCAAGTCTATGTGAAAATTCATAACTCTCTCCCTTTGTTTCTCAATTAGCCCTAATTTGAAAACAAATAAGTAGGGGTGAGCGCGGTTCCAGGGTAGAACCGGACCCGGTGGATCCGGTTCGGTTCCAAGTTCCATGGATAGAGGCTCCGGTTCCCGGTTCCCCATTTTTAGGAACCGGCTGTTTCGGTTCCGATTCCCGGTTCCTATAGGAACCTGGAACCTAAACCGGAACTGGAACCAAAAACATAAACTTAGTATTAGAAACCCTAATTCCCAAATGCTCCCCTCTCCTCCTGAATCACACCCGATCCTCCAAAGCTCCCTCCCACTTCCGCTTCCGCCTCGCTCCTCGCTCCCGCTTCCGCTTCCACCTCGCCCTCGCTCCGCTTGCTTCCACGGTTCTCTCCCACTTCCGCCTCGCTCCGCCTCTCTTCGCCGCAGTCTGTGATCTCCCCACATGGATTCGCTCCAATTATTCGGGCTCGCCGCCGTCTTCCTCCTCTCAAGCTCCGTCGCTCCGATTAGATTAAACATCGACCCTACCTTATAAATACCGGCCATGTGCCTCATTGCCTTCCCAAATCTCTCAAATTTTCTCTCGGGGCCTAGGGTTTGTGCTCTCGTTTCAAGAACCGCAGCATTGTTCATCGATCTCGGTACATATTCTTGCTCTCCTTTTGATTCTTGAATGACTCGATTGGGCTTTGTTCGTTGATGCATTGCTAATCTCTTCGTAGATTGCGCGTAGTTCGGTGTTCACGATCGAATAGGGAGGTTTCGGTCTTCTGGGTCGTCTTTGTCTTTCGATTTCTTGTGAAAAACCAGGCACTAATTGTGAAATTCATTGGAATTGTTGTCTTTTCTGCGTTTTTGATTGGGACTGAGCGGGTATGGAAGAATCAGGGGAAAGAATTGTTCTTTCGCGATTTTGGATCGATAGAGAGATTGGTTTGAATTGTTTGAGGCTTTTCGTGGAAGGGTAGTCGACTCTTATAATGGCATGATAGAGGAAGACTTTTGTCTGATCTGTGATCTTTTTGAGTGAAACCGAATAAAAAGGGGTTTTTAATGTTTTCTCGTAGTGCATCGATTTCCTTATCTTTCCGAGAAACTAGAGTAGAATCGAAAGAATTTCACACGAGGCATATTTTCCATTCATCACAATAGTAAGAGTTCTCAATTGGGTTTTTATTATCGGGTGGAGATTACTCTTTCCGGGCTTCTCCGTTTCTAATTTTATTTTTCTTTGCTTAAATTGACTTTTGAATGCCCTTTTTATTCTAGATTACAAATTTTAAACTTTTGTGTGATAAGTAATTCTAGCCTGTATTATTGACCTGAACTGCATAGATTGAATGCACGGGTGCCAGGGTTAGGCCTGTATGAGCATTACATTTGGGATTTGTGGATTTATCATGTTTGATTGATTGTAGACTAAAAGCAGAAGGAACTAGAGCTATGGGGAAGAGAAAGTCTCGGGCAAAGCCACCTCCTAAGAAGAGGATGGACAGACTTGATACAGCTCTTGGTGCCCTTTCTGCAACCATGGCACAAGTGTGGAGTGCCGCCTATAAGTTTCAAAGTTCCTTGTGTTTCTGTCTTTTTCTCCTCTCATAGGAATGAGGCTGTTATAGGTTTATCCTCTGAACACTAACTTTGAAACTGCGCGACATGTTTTGTTTTTTGAAACATTGCATGATTATATCATAATTTTTTTTTATAGATTTAAGACCATTTTCCTACTGAAGTGTGTGATGATATTTTCTTTAAAGTATCAGATGAGGCCCTCTCAGCTAATGTTGTGCATTTCCAAGCATTTAACAATCCTGATGTATAATAGTACCACGCGGAAGTACAAACTAATAATTGAATCTCGCTGTCATCTAATTCTCGATGTTTAATCTAATCAACAATATCGTGTTCTCTGTTAATCCGTTGGCACTTCTTTATTTTGCGTGAGCGTGTGACTGGAGATATTATGCAAGGTTTCGGCTTTCTTCTTGCTTTGATCATAGTGAATCATCTGGGGATGATTTGGCTATGCACATTTATTATGAATGATAGGTTTTCTTCTTCTTCTTTTTTTCGAGGGGGGGTGTTTGATTGTATTGTATGGAATGGAATTGTAACCTGGAACCCAAATTTAAAAAAAGAACATGTTGGAACTTGGAACCGACCCTGGAACCTGTGACAGGGTAGGTTCCAAGTTCCACGTTCCGACGGGTAGGTTCCAGGTTCCAAGCGGAACCTACCCGGAACCTGGAACCGCTCACCCCTACAAATAAAACTATGCTCGAACGAGTTTCAATGCCTAGTCACGAAGACGAAGATGACGATGAAGAAGTATGCTTGATGAAGAGGAAGACGAAGAAGGATTAGAGTGCTGTGAGAGAGAGAGAGAGAGAGAGAGAGAGAGAGAGAGAGAGAGAGAGAGAGAGATGAGTTTTCATGTGAACTTGCCCCGTCAACTGAGAGAGAGAGAGAGAGAGAGAGAGAGAGAGATATATATATATATATATATATATATATATATATATATATATATGAGTTTTCATGTGAACTTGCCCCGTCAACTAAGTTATTGCTATATCTCATTTAACTTAATAATTTTATGATAAAATTTGACGAAAACTAATGGATGGTAAATGTGTCACGCGTATTACAGTTTGGGTTTTTCAGTTACCTAAAAATTAATTTAGGATAAATTTGTCACATGAGTACCAGTTTGAGATTTTTCGTGATATTAACCTTTTAATTAACTGGAGAATTTAAAAGAATTATAATTTCGTGCCAAATAGTTGAAGGAAAACTCAATAAAGAAAATTAAAACCTAAGTATTCAGTTTGGGTTGCGGGTTTATTTTTTCGATGTAATTTTATTTTGGAGATAGTATTTCAAGCATCATTTACATTGCTACCAGGGGAAATTGAACCATACATGACACGTTTAGTCACATTGTTGACATGGAAAATAAAGAATCCACCATTTGATAAAGTGATTGTGTGTCACTAGTAAACTTTCAACAATCTGCCTTAAGACTCTAGAGTCGAGACCAAGTATGATCCAATGAGTACATGATGAAGAATTTGAGCTTGGTAGATGCATACTCGAACCATCGAATACTTGTTCGATGGTCCGCTACATCTCAGGAAGGAAAAATCTATTTGTGCACTGACGATGTACGAATTCATCCATAAGTTGGACCCGTTTAACCACACTTTCACATGATCAACCGTGGTCGATAACAGGAGATTAGAAAATGTGGCTAAGTTGGCCCGTTTGTGGATGAGTTTGTACATCCGCGGTGCGCGGAAGATTTTTCCCAAGAAAAAAGAGAAATGCGAGAGTAACAATATCCCAGTAATATCTAGGCCCTTATTTTCTACGGCCGACATCTCTCCAGCTTTCTTTAGTAGACACTCAGAATAATCTCCCCTTGTTATTAGATCCACTTGCATGTATTGAGCCCTATCTTCTAAGATAATAGCTTTATTTAATGAAGTACTAATCCATGACCAACATGCACAGTGATGCCGGAGCATTCCTTGAAGACGTCAAGTTGTCGATTTCATCGATCAACTAACAAGTTGTCGATTTGCAAGCCAATTGTCAATTCCAAGTGAACTCATTGATCACGATGTGTTGAAGGTTGTTCGGTTCCTAGAAAAAACATGAAGGCCATTAATTCAGTCTTTGGAACTAGTAATGAATTGAGACCCACAACCGATTAAACTTAATTCTCATATCTTCAAGGTCTAGTAAGTGTTGTTCAAGTTTCTATTGTCCTTATTTATTTATGGTTGTTTTCTAGTAAATGTTGTTTGTATTTCCTATGAGTCTTTTGTCTTTCCAAAGAGTCTTGATAATTACTTGTGCTTGGAGGGTTGTTCCATGCTCATCTATATAAGCATGCTATGATGAATAACTAGAAAAAGACTTATTTTTTATTCAAAACTAATTGAGCTTTTGACTTAAGAATAAGAAGGATTTCTTGTTTACTCTTATCTCTTAGGTGGATTCTTACGAGTGGCGAGTATTGCTTTTATCTCTTAGGTTAATTACCTACGAGTGGCGAGCGACTTATCCATTAAAGTTCTCACTTGTGTTATCTCTCACTTCTCTACACTTTCTCTGGCGTCGCACAATTTGTATTTACACACAAAAGGAAAAAAGGAAAATGACACAAATGGTTCATGAACTTTGATCCAATGTGCAATATGATTTATGAACTTTTAATTTATTCATTGTGGTCTTTGAACTTTAACCCAATATGCAATGTTGTCTCTAAACTTTCAACTTATTCAATATGGTCTATGAGCTTTTAAATTCATGTTCAATCTAGTCCTTAGACTATACTGTTCCTGAATTTAAATTAATAGTATAATAATATTAGATATTTTCATATGATTCATGGACTAACTTGAACATATATTAAATTAGAAGTTCATGAATGACATTACCCTATAGATTAAAATTCAAAAATCATATTTGATAAATTAAAAATTTATGTATCATATTATTTATCGAGTCAAAGTTCAAAGCCATTTATGTTTACTATTCAAAAGGTCAAAAGCCGTAACAAAGAAGCAATATACAAGTACATCGAGAACTTGGTTAGGCCTTGGCCACGTATCCCAAATCCCACGGTGCATCGCTTCGAAGAGATCTTCTCGTCCGTATTTTATATAAATAATCAATCCTTAGTCCTTTTAATTAAATCGGTCCATTTGCTCGGAAATTGTTCCCACCTGCCCAGCATGACTCTCTTAGATAACTTAAGATATTCACTTTTGAACGTGGAAGCTGCTCGTGTGATCAGATAATCATAGTCTATGTCAAGATTCAAGAACCCTGTGGTTCTAAATCTGATTAATGCTAGAAAAAAAATTAGGTCGTACCAAGAACAGTGTATATATTTGGAAAAGTGCCATGTTTCCTTTTATGTCATGTAAAGGGACAGATCTCTCGGAGAGGGAAAAGAAACCTACATTGCACATGACACTACTATAGACCTAATTGATAATAATTTAAAAGAAAAGGCTAGCTATGATCTTTTTCTTTATTAAAATTTAATTTAACCCTAAGATTTAGTATTGCTTTTGGCTTGTTTATATATATTTCAATAAATCATGAGATGGGCGTCGAAGGATCGAGACTTTTCGGTGTTACGAGAATATGATACCTATCATTTACTCTAGTCAATTATCTCGCGAATAGTTTTGTCATTCCGAAAAGAAAAAGTAAATATACGACTTGACATGTGATAATTAGCACAATCGTTGAAGACGATGTCTCAGGATTTACACTTGAACTACTTAAATTCAAATTACAAACAGGAGATTTCAAAAAAATGTTGGATTCTTGAATATAATCTCGTCTTCTTCTCAAGATACCACGATTTCTTGCCGAATACTCGTGAACGGATGTTCCATTCTATCAATCAAAGTGCTGGAGAAGAAACTCGTATCAGATGAACCTCTCTACATACGAGCGGTTTAGGTTTTAGAAAAAGAAAGTCAAAACGCACAGAAATTGCAGAGGGAAACAGCGTGGTGGGTCATTTGGAATTACAGCAACTGCAGCACTCCTCCTGTAGAGAGAGAGAGAGAGAATCTGACAAGAAAAAAAGGACGACCACTGTGTCCTTTTTTAACTTTAGTTTTGTCCCTCTCTCTCTCTCTCTCTCTCTCTCTGTGACCCTAGAAAAGAGAAACCATGGCTTCATAGACACAAACGTTCGGTCTTAAATAAACCCTCACGCGTAGCCTTTCTAATCCGGTCTCTTTCCTTTCGCATCTCTCTCCTAACCTCACAGAAAAGGTGTTTAAGCACAATATTTTGAGTGGGTTTGCACTTTGCAGTCACAGCAAGATTAATTCTGGGCAAATAAACCAGACCTGAACCCAACCGGACACTGCTTCTCTCTCTCTCTCTCTCTCTTCCCAGGTTTCAATTTTCATTTGGGTTTGCAGAGAAGACAAGAACCCCAAGAAAGAAGATGGGGCCAATCTTATAGCACGCTTTTGAAAGAGATGGGTTTGACATGACATGGGCAATTTTACCCAATTCTTGCAACGAAAAATTGTCCGTCTTTTTCAGAAGTTGATGATGCTCTCTTCCCACGGACAAAGATTTTGTGTTTCTCTTTATGGCGGTGTTTCCGGGGCCTCGTGGTGTGTCGGCAGCAACGCGACGGAGTGCCTCTATTCCCAGTTAACTTCGGCTGGTTTTGAGACTTTAAGACAGAGACTCTCCAGTTAAATCATTCTGCTTAATGTGATTGTTTCTTGGCTTCGGTCAGCAACTTCCCTTGGCTGCAAATCCACAGGTAAGTCAAGTGTTCAGCTCCAATTTCAAGAAAGCCCTTTTCGTCTTGTTAGAACCCAAAGGAAGAGAAATATAAAAACAAAGAGTGGTTAATTATTACACTTGCTTTTAATCAGGTTTCATTATGCATGTCTAATCAAGGCTCAATCTGTTGCTTACGTCTTGGGGAATAGTTGAGTTGAGACCCAACTTCAGCGAAGATGGCAAAATGGGTTAGTGGGTTTAGCACCCAGAGAAACGTCCAAATCAGATGAAACTTTCAACTTCACTAGTGATTGTCCCTTTGGTTTAAGTCTCCTCTTTGATGGGATGTTTTAGATTAGGGTAGAGAAAAATTAGGGTTACTCATAAACTCCAGATATTGAAGGGGGGGAACAAACCTATTTGGGAGAGAAGAAAATCAGGTCACGAGATGGAGCCAAGAAGCGCAGAAGATCAAGCAAAAATCCCCAATTCTATGTTGTATGATGATCCAAGTCCAAGTCCACCCAACGGAGAGAGAAAGATAGGCCATGGCCAAGACCTTGTCATCTCACCTCAAACCCTAGATCAACCAAAGCCCAGAATTGATCATCTACTTCAACCATCAATTCCCACTTCAAGTCCAGCTACAGCTGAATTCTCCAGAATCATGACTTTGACCCCAGCGACGCCTCCGCCGGAGGCCAATTTCCGATATCGCGAGTGCCTCAAGAACCACGCGGTAAGCATCGGTGGCCACGTCGTCGACGGGTGTGGCGAGTTCATGCCAAGCGGGGATGAGGGCACGCCGGAGTTCTTCAGATGCGCCGCCTGCGGGTGCCACCGCAACTTCCACCGGAAGGAGATCGTAGACTGCGGCGGCAGCGAGCCGTGGCGCTCGACCAATTTCCAGTATAATCATCAAAACGGAAACGGCCCCCTCAATTATGGTCTAATCAGGCATGCAGCCAATTCAATCCCCCAGCAAACCCTCCTCCACCAAAGCAGCCGCCGGCACCAGGGCTTCTCACCGGGGCCTGGTCAGCCGGTGATGGTGGCGTTCGGCGGGGGTGGCGAGGCGGAGAGCTCAAGCGAGGATCTCGGCCGGCGCGGCGACGGGGGAGGGTGGCGACAAGAAGACATGGCGATGGTGGTGCAGTCGCAGCAATCACCAAAGAAGAGGTTCAGGACAAAATTCCGCGAGGAGCAGAAGGAGAGGATGATGGGGTTTGCTGAGAAGCTGGGGTGGAAGATGCAGAAGGGGGATGAAGATGAGGTGGTGAAGTTCTGTGAAGAGGTGGGGGTGAAGAGACAGGTGTTCAAAGTGTGGATGCACAACAACAAGCATGCCATGAAGAGGAAGCAACCGTGTTAACACGAGAGACACAGAAAGAGAGAGAGAGAGAGAGATTGTTCTTCTTAAGAACAATTTTGGTTTTAATTCAAGGGTTCGCTTGTGATAATCATAGGATGAAATAAGTTTGGGCAATGTGCGAAACTTTTCATTTCATTTCAAGCTCTTACAAGGGTAAAATAATCAGAAGGTAAGCATGACAAAAAAAAAAGAAAAAGCTCGAATGGTACGATCCTTTTATCACCCCAGAATGAAAGGAGCGATTTCGTAGTTCTTGGTCCATGAAGATACATTGTTAGGTGTTCCATTTTATTTTCTCGTCGTGGTCGAACTTAAACCTGTGCTCGAGAGATAGCTGTCCATATATTGATAAGGCATGTATAGATTCTCGAGAAAAGGGGAGCTGTGAGGTTTCCCAGACCGCTCGGATCTCACGAGTGAATAGAAAATTGGATCTATATTGGATTTTACCCGAATCGCTCCATCTATCCTCCTTAGGAGAGGTTTGGTTTCATTACAGCATTCCCTCATTTTTTACGATGTTGATATTGTTGGAGCACATCTGGTGGGGCTTTAGAGATGAAATATGTGGGGAATTTGGAAAAGTAGTAAAAAAAAAAAAGTATAGTCAAATGGTACCTATCTAGGGTATCACTGGATTGCTTGATTTTCGAATTTAATTTGGCTTCCAAATCTAATATATTATATTAAAAGTCGACTTTTGCATAATGCAGCAAGTATTAACGAAAGGAGTCTTTTTTTATTTTTTTTATAAATACAAACGTAAGAGTTTTTCAGAGGAAAAGTAAAAGTTTATAGGAAAATCACTGACATTTATTATTATTTCTGCACATTAAATACATTAAATTTTGATGAAAGGAGTCCTTTTTTCTTTTCCAAATGAAAATTTAATATTTCTTTTCAAGAAAAAGTGAAAGTTTAGCAGAAAATATCTTGGCAATAACTGAAAAAATTCACATATTAAATGATAAAATTTATTTAACAAAAGTAAGGGAAAATTTTCGAAAATATTAACATAGGCATATTACATATATTTAGTAATACCTAAAGTAATAAGTGGCAAAACTAACTTTATGAGAATGAGAAAATAATCATGTACATAATTTCATGTAAAATTGAATTTATCATGTACGATACGTGATGTGAAATATTAACTGAAAAAATATACATGTATATCTATGATCGTATCTCGTAATATGCACTGTAGAGAGTAATATGTCGAATATAATACACCATGTACGTTAATTAGTCATTTCAAATATCATGCAGAAATGAAATACGCACATGCATCCTATACTATTCACACATTTAGGAAAATCACATGATAAATGCACAAGAATTTAGCCACGGAATTTTCAGGGGTGCCCTGAAAACTCTTAGGTGTATAGAGTAACTAGTCCCCATTGGACCCGCCAAACTGTAGCACTTCCCTCATTGATTATATCTTTTTCGAAAGTTAAAATTCAAAATCAAAATGAACATAGTTCTTGAAAACTGCTCTAGATTCTAGATATGATTGTCCAAAAAGTAGTAAACATATTGTATGGTAATTAATTAAGTCCCGAACTTTTCAATTTTACTAATTTAATTTTAAACTTTTCAGCAATTTTCAATATAATCCATTTGATCAATTTTGGCTGAAAATCGCTAACGTGGCAGTCCAGTCATTGCCAGCTCTCCTACGTGACTCGGCCGGTGGTGATGCGGATTTTTTTTTCCTGAATTTTTCCTTTTTATTTTCCTTTTCTTTTCTTGTTTCTCCGCCGGTGGCTAGCCGCAACGCCCTTGCCTCTCGCCGCTTGAAAATTCAATGAAGGAAAAAAAGAAAAAGAAAAGAAAAAAATTCAGAAAAACTAACAAAAATCGTCCTTGTTAGAGCTGATCATTCTAGGTAGGATGGTCAGCATTGGCTGGTCCACCACGTTAGCAGTTTTCGGCTAAAATTGACCGGATGGATTACATTGGAAAATCATTGAAAGGTTTATGATTAAATTGGCAAAATTGAAAAGTTTAAGATTTGATTGATCTCTGCACGGTACGAATTGGACTTTTTGGATAATTTTCCTCTAGAGTCTATGGCCTATAAAGTCTTCCCTTCCCTAGGTTAGGATGAGCTACACTAACACGACCATGTAATTCAACCAATGTGCAAGTTTAAAACAGTGCAATTTTCATTCAGCATGTGATTTCAATCTTCGTGCAAATCTACATCAATGTGCCAAATCAATCAGTCATGTGATTAAGTCAGCGTGAAAGTTCAAAGATTAGTCAACGCGCATGTTCAATTTAACGCGCGAATTGAACCTTCGTGCACTTTACATTTGACACGTGTTAGCTAAAACTAATTTTGGACCTTTTCTATAATTTCAAGATATATGTATTAAAAAAAATCAAAAGCGATAGGACGGATTCATGGATCTATGGCGGTCGAGGTCTCCCCACCTCTTTGGTTCGTTTGGACCGATCCTCTCGGTACGTGGGCAAGGGGTCGGCTTTATTTAGACTTTCTTTATTTCGCAAAAAATGAATAATTTGAAGAATATTTTTTCAATAAATGATTACTTGTATCGCTTGAAATAATTAGCGAATAAAAATTACTTTCATTATCGACAGCAATTTATATAAATATTTTTCATTTATTCATTTTTGTTAGCGATACAAGTGATTATTTTTATGAAAAATGTTTTCAAGATCGTTCATTTTTCGCGATGCATGCAATTCCCTCCACACTAGAGGATATTCTCATGTTTATTTTGTATATAATTCTTGTTACAATTTCGCATTTTTTTATCTTCTTGTAGACCCTCGGAATAATTTTTGGGTTGTGCAAACCAAATAGTATGATGACCTTTGGGTTGTACCAAGTCCGAAACTAAGTGTATTTACTTTTTGTCCCATAATCCCCCACTATTATACATATAATGATATGTCATATCTGTGTACTTCTTTTTGTCTAACCAAAAGCATATAATAATTTCAGTAGAGTAACAACATATTTTTTCTACCAATATCCAGCTTTTATTTGAGGAACATCCTGATTTTGTTGCAGTCAATATTGAAGCAGATTTGCTTCTCGGATTCTAGGGGAAAACCAAAATGAACAAAATGATAGGGAAGAGCAGAGACAATATGAGGTTTGAGCCTAGGATGAGCTCACGGGTGGAAATCCTGCAGAAGGCCGGCCATGTCCATAGCCATCCTGATCCTGTTCTTCCAGGCCATATCAGGATCTTGCATAGCCATGACTGGATGTTAGGTTCTCTACTGATGCTAGACTCTTCAACTTTAGAATACGGAGACAGTGGACGGTATACACTAAAGTGGAGATTTTATGGAGAAAGATTACACCATCTGAGTAGAAAGTGTCAATAGAAACAGTTTGTCATTGAGGTGCCACAGTATGCTAGATCGAAAGACCGCTCTGATTCATCTCACTTTTCAGGAAAAACATTGGGACTTGAACTGTACAGTTTCTTTTTGAACCAAGTCATAAGATATGGGTAGACCTGAAGCACTGCTAAAATTGAAGCATCAATCATCCGAAATCACCTCAACAGAATAATGCCAAATGCGTCTGTTTTGACCATCTTGAGCTGTCTGCAAATTTCAAAACTGCATCATCGATAGATGCCTTGACAGCTCCAGGCAAATTCACAAAAGTTGCGGACGCATATGGATAGCCTCAAGTCTCTGTGAGTCTCAGGCCGTTGTGTCTTTTTTCTTCTGTCCGCACTGTCTTCTTTTTTGTTCTTTCTTTTGCTGGGCCTGTCTTTACTATCTAGGTAAGGCACATAACCTGCTCTTTTCGTGTCCCGTATTAGCAATTCAAGAATTTCATCCACCATAGAAACCATTTTATATCGAGCAACGAGGCTAAAAATCTGGTTTCCAATCTCAATCCAACAACTGCCAGTCTCTTTCTTGCTACCCATTCCCCTCATTAGCTTCCTAGCTCGTGCAAACTCCCCCCATATACCTTCAGCCGCAAAAATGTTTGATAGGGTCGCGTAGGTCCCGGCCAGCCATGGTCTCGAATCTAGAACCCTCCGAGCTACCAATTTTCCCAACTTCGACCAAAAAAAGTCCGTGTGCATGACCAGCTCCAAGTAGGGTGACCCGGACAGACTCATCAGGTCTAAATGGCACACTCTCTATCAGTTGGTAAGCCTCCTCCACTCTCCCTGCACGCCTAAGCAAATCCACCACACACCCATAAATCTCCTGGCTTGGGGTGACATTATATTCACCCATTAATTCGAAGTACCTTGACCCCTCTTTTACAAGACCTGCATGGCTGCAAGCACTCAGAACTGCCTAAAATCCAATTTTATCCGGTCTTACTCCTGATCTGACCATGTCATTGAACAATTTAATGGCCTCTCTTCTGCGTCCATGAGCCCCATATCCAACCATCATAGATGTCCAAGTGAGCAAGTTCCTGTGAGTCACGGAATTGAACATTCTGTGCGAATCATTTATGCTTCCACACTTGGCATACATATCAATGAGTGCATTAGCAAAGCCCCATGCTACCCTCAAGTCCTCTCTGAATGATTACTCCATGAATCGGTTGTCCACATTTCATAAGTGCGAAGTTACCACAGGCCGCGATAACACTTGTAAATGTGAAGCAGTTCGGTTGAAACCCTCGAGACTCCATTTTAGAGTACATAAGAAGGGCCACACCGGAATCTGATCTTTCATATCCAGCTATCAAGGTGTTGCACGTGATTACATCTTTCTCGTGCATTTCAAGGAAACATTGTTTTGCATCAGATAAGCAAAACCTGCAGTACATGTCTAATATGGAATTCATGACAGGAAGGTTGGAGTCAAGCCCGTGTTTGATAATTGATGCATGGAGTTGCAGGCCAAAAATCTGTGACCCAATTGAGGCGCAAGCTCTAACTGCAATTTAGAAGCTAAATGGGTTCAGTTTAGCTCCTTCCTGCTTTCACATAAAGTGCATAAATAATGTGAAAAACTACTTCATGTTGAGACCATTTGATAGGAAATTGAACTGTAGGCATCCTAAATGATCACATGCTTGAAACTATCAAACTAACTTCATCTAGAGCAAATTGAAAGCGAGCTGGAAGTTGAAATCATGACAGGTACGTACCAACAACATTTGGCGAAACACGTTAAGCCCACTGTAGCCGTCACCTCGGTGGGTAAACCCAGTGATCAACGTAGTCCAAGATACCTCATTCTTTGCACCAATATTACGAATAACCATGCAGGCATCATCCATGCTAACACAGCTAGTAGCGTACCAGTCGAGAAGTGCATTTTCAACATACATAGAAACATCCAAGCCAAGCTTGATTGCCCAGCCGTGAACTAGCATTCCACCCGAAAGACTTCTCATACCTTTACAAGCCTTCAAGACACTGGTTAAAGTAAACTCATTTGGCTCCATTTCATCCCGAACCATCTCAGAGAACAAAGCCCATGCTTCGTTGCGGTAACCACAAGAAGTATAGCCAGCAATCATGGCCGTCCAAGCAACAAAATCTCTGTAAGGCATTTCGTCGAACGTGACCCGAGCTTCATTCACTGATCCACTGTCAAAGTACGACTCGATCAAATTCACGGATAAAACTGATGGGTCCTTCCGCAAGTATGGCGGGTTTGGTTGGGTAACGCAGTTTCGGACCCGCCTAAGTGAGTTCAGCACTATCTTCAGGTATCGGCCGGTGATGGGTGGTTGATAGTAGTTTCTTGGCACTCGTGGATCGTGCCGTACCCGGTCATAGCCAAGCACAACCTCGCTTCATCGGTTTGACCGTCAAAACAGTCGCAGATCACAAATACAGTCAAAGGGAAACTACACACCCGGTGGCAGTTCCTTTGCACGGTCCAGAAGTAGCAAAAGTGGTCGCAAATTACATGAAATTCTACCAATAGGAAAGATCTAGCTTATGGTCTATCGTGCATTGGTGGATAAGCTCTAAATCCTTGTGACTAATCTTATGAACAAAGACAGTTCAACCATATGGTTGAAATATAATTGCTATGCACACGTTAAATCTACCAAATTACAAATTTTTAAGAGTACAAAACGGCATTACACGATGATCAAGGTAAACAGATAAATTAATAACATTATAAAGAATGTAATTTTCATATACATACGTCATCGCGTCATGTGATTAATTTGAGGTTAACCACAACTTTCTTCTCCATTTGAACTAATTATGATCTTTAAAGGGTTATCATTTTAGAATTTAGTTTGGTAAGACACGGACATTAGTGTTCTAAGGACATCGGAAAAATTTCTAATAGTTTCCAAATTAGCAACAGGACACAGTTGGCTTTCGAGGGCACACATTTAATAAACAAAAAATTGAAAAACAAGAAGAAAGGGAAGAAGAAGAATGTGAGGCTGGGGTGGGTCATTGTGTTATCCCAACTGGACAGAAACCAGCGAAAACCATTGCAGGTAGAAGCAGAGGGAGGGGCGGTGCGAGGGTGAGTCATGGCAAAGTTGGCGGCAGTGCAGCATCAACGCCACCCGCCTTCTTCACTCTCTCTCCTCCCTTCTTCTTTCTCCGACTTCAATAGCACCAGACTCCATGCTTGCATTCAGGTCCTCACCTTCCTTTCTCTCTCTCTCACAGTAGCTCAATCTCAAATTCTTGAAAATTTGGCATTTTTCTTTACTTGGTGTTTGCTCAAATTAACTTTGATCTTGGTTTTCGGCTGTTTTCACTAATGAATTTCTAGCATATATTCTGTTATGGACCAGAAGATGGAATGTGATTTTGCTATCTCTCTATCAATTAGAGTGTAGATTAACCTGCCGGGGTTGTTTCCTTTCCCATAATTCTTGATCTTTTCCTATGCAAAGAAAGTGACAAACTCTGCGAGGACAGAGCCATATAGCCTTATACGCTTGGTTGAAGTTGAAACTGAGGCTCAGACGTTTATCAGTTGTTCAGAAGAAGTCTGTATGAGAAATGAATAATTTGTTTCATCAGCCATATAAATAGCTGATTATAGGTTGTTTATAGTACAAGAGGAAGGTGTGGCAGCCGAAAGGAGCTCTGTGTGTCACCGCATCGAGCACCAAGAAGATCCTAATAATGGGAGGCACCCGTTTCATCAGTGAGTTTTTGTCGAGACTACTCGTCAAGGTTGGTCATCAGGTATTGCTAACTTACACCCCATCTTCGGATCTTATCCTCCTTTCCCGATGTCAATCTTCCATGGTGCCTTGCTATTTGCGATCGCCAATACAGCGTAATCATGCCTATCTTGCTATTTTGGCAGGTTACTTTGTTTACCAGAGTAGAAGCACCCATCATTCAACAATTGCCCGGTGAGTCGGACAAAGATCATGCTGATTTTTCTTCTAAGGTAACTGCATTTGGCGTAGCTAAGTTTCGCACATAATTCATTCGGTGAAATTCTGCGACAGGATGATTTGTGCTGAGCCTTTTTTCATTTGATGGTTAATTTTGGGGCAGATCCTGCATTTGAAAGGAGACGGAAAGGACTTTGAATTTGTTAAATCAAGCCTTGATTCGGAAGGCTTTGATGTTGTTTATGACTTTACATTCAAGTTTTCATTCACAATTGTCAGATGCCATACATCCTACTTGCAAGTTGACTAAAACTTGGAGCATTTACTTTGATTTGAAAATCTTCTAACGTATGGTCAGATTAAAGCTTTTGCAGTTTCAAGGAGGAGTGTGATGGCCTTGATCTTATCAAGTTGTATCTTCTCACAAATTGGTTTGGGCGACATTGCATTTGCAGAGCCGTCTGTCGGGTTAAGAGAGTACATCGATACCTTTGATGGTTACTCTTTCAAGTATCCTCAGAATTGGCTTCAAGTCCGAGGTGCTGGGGCTGACATATTCTTCAGAGACCCTTATGTTCTAGATGAAAATCTCTCAGTGGAGTTTTCATCTCCTTCATCATCCAGGTACAAGAGTGTTGAAGACTTGGGTCCGCCAGAAGAAGCTGGAAAGAAAGTACTCAAGCAGTACTTGACAGAATTCATGTCAACCAGACTCGGAGTCAGGCGCGAGTCCAATATCATTTCCACTTCTTCGAGAATCGCAGATGACGGTAAAATGTACTATCAAGTAGAGGTAAGTCTATTTTGCTGTTATTCGATTCCCTTTGTTTCAAAATAGGAATACATCCGCCATGTGCAGTTTTCTGTCCCTCTCTAAGCACTGGTTTCTGGTTTCAATGTAAGTAGTTGAAAGAGTCACCTTTTGTTTCAGGTGAACATAAAGTCGTATGCCAACAATAATGAACTGGCAGTTATGCCCCAAGATCGAGTGGTTCGTTTGGAATGGGATCGAAGGTACCTTTCAGTTCTTGGAGTTGAAAACAATAGGCTGTATGAGTTGAGACTACAAACTCCAGAAAACGTCTTTTTGGAAGAAGAGAATGATCTTCGCCAGGTCATGGACTCTTTTAGAGTAAACACGGTGGCCAGCTAATTTAACTTCGTTGAATCTTTTGTGGAAATGTAACATCCAGGTTTTTCTATGGCTTGAGGCTCTGTTTTTTTCTTTCCGCAAAACAATTTTGCATCTGCTGCCACAGTTTGAGTCCTGGATTTCTCCATTCAACCTGCAGTCGTATTGCAAAATTTTACACTGAAGTTTGTCTATGATGCTCAGTTTTGCTCTGTTCATTTGATACGCATGAAGTACCTAAAGCTTACAAAGAAACAGACCATATTCAGAGGGGACTTGACAAAAAGAATCTGCTAATCTTGATGTGATGATCATGTAAAATTGCAAACTGAAAGGAAAAAGACTCCTAAACCTGAATCGCTCGGCAGAATGAAGAACTACATCATTGATCAGCAACAGCCTCTCCCAGGATGTTTCAAGTAAAGCTGGGTCGGGATCATTGAAGAACAACAAAAAGGTGTTCCTCCACAATCCCTCAATTTCTTTGTGTAGGACTGCCTCCAAGGATAGACCCTCACAGCGGATTGAAGCACATCACGCCCTCACTTCCTAACTCGCTGCTCGAGCAAGAGCTCAGAAACCTTTGTAAGGACGGTTATAAAAGACTGATGTTCTGTCAATGAAGGGGCTTTATCGTTAGAAATCGGTCCCATTGGCCAAGAGCATTACGAACAATCAAACGAACGAGTACTATGAAATTACGCCAGCAAGTACCTTATTTCAAAGGAATGTTCAGTGTCCCACCATCTGAGTTCAAATCAACTGATGAATTGCAGGAGGCAATTGAAATTGCATACTGATCGAGTCAATTGTCTTTCCTGGATCATCCCATACTCCGACTAACAGGCTCAAACAGAATGTCCCAGCATCTGAAGTCAGCTGTGGCTTTCAGTGTAAGAAAGGAATCCTCTTCAGCTTTTTGACTCCGTATAAGAAAAGTAGCTAAACTAACCAGAGGCATTGACAATCAAAGGACAAAGCTCAAATTTTTTCCCCAGTCTCCATCCTAAACCACTGCCTCCTTTCTGAAGTCAATCTATTGAAAAGACCCGCTTCCCGGTTTGACCTTTATTAATTTAGCAGCTTATATGTACAAGCTAGGACACCACAAAAATCAAACGAAATTGCCGATACATCTGGAAACGAACACATTTATTCACAAATGTAGCTCATGAGCCGAAATTGTCCGAAATAGTCCATCAGGGGGGACAAAAGAAAGAATATCATGAGATTCCCATGTTTGATAACTCGCGCATGGATGAAATCCAACATCATCCAGATTACTTCTAATGAAAGGGTCGAATCAGGAAGACCGGAGTGGCGAGAGTTCACTTGAAATTAACCATAAATCTCGCATTAAGTAAATGTACCACCCGTAGGCAGCGCATAAGAGAGTATTCGTTAGTGTCGACCAGGTGAAGACATGAAATGTGCAGCTACACCAGAAAATGCACTATCAAATCATCAAAGCAAGAAGAAAAAAGGAAAGAGGGTGGTAAAGTCAGCTTTAAGGAAAGAGATATGAATCCTTAACGACCTCATTAAAAGGTTTTCAGCAGCATGCCTATATATGACCGGATCCATTTCTTCCACGAGATCAACATAGACTTCATTATTAGCGTACTTGGCGTCCGTCGTCCTCCACAAAGCACATGAGGCCGTTGCACCAGGAAGCGTCTCTCTCACATTCGAAACTGGGCCACTCTCACTCTCTCTCTCTCTCTCCCCAAATAACGAACAAAACTTGACAACATCTGAAGCTTTTCCTTATTCTCAGGTACACCTACTGCTCATTAACCTGAGTTTGATTCCAGGAGAAAGAAGGCATTCCCATTCGTGACCAGGAAAAGATGAGAGAAAACTATTAGCGTTTCTATTTTGCTTGATGCAGAAAATGGGATTGATACTTCCCTCGAGTATTTATACATAGTGATTTATGACCAGCATCACAAGCGAACGAATATCTGGTTTATGGACAATAGCACTTCACCTGAAGTGCATTTGCAGCCGAAGACCCGTCGTCCCGCATTATATTGTATCAAAGAAACAAAACCCTTCATGCAGGGAGATCTGAAGCTAAACCTCTTCAAAGAACCACTTGGTCATTTCTAGACGCATTTGGTGATTCATTCATCACATCTGCAGATGTCATAGACTTGTAGAGCATATGAAATCCCCATTATTTCAATTTTTTAGGTTGCAATAGAATAGATAGTATATTTCCTCAGTTTCTCTAGAAGCCCTTCAAGATACAAAACTACTGACATTTCAAAATGCATGCAGCATTTCTTTCCATCAGTTGAGAAAGCGAAGAGTGTGCTCGGGTGGAAACTGGAGTTCGGCCTGGTGGAAGGCCTTACTGACTCCTACAACCTAGACTTTGGCCGAGGGACATACTAAAAAGAGGCCAGATTCCACCACCCACGGCATGATCCTCGGAAAGAGTCTTCTTCTTCAGAGCACAACATATTTTTCTTTCTTTCCGCTCTCCACTATCCTTTTTTCCAAGCCCTCCTTGATATCATTATCATCAACTGAAGAGTTCTCCATCGGGCAAAGTCAGCAGAGAAGAAGAAAATTTGAATGTTGCAACTTTTGTAGCTTTGAATCGAACTAGAAAACATTACATTCAGAAACCATTTTTGCTAGAGAGATACTCTTTTGCTGAGTTTTACAAAGAGAAAATTCATTAGTTGGAAAAACCTGTTCAACATTCAACACATTGTCAGCAGCAGATGGATAAAGAGCAGAACACAAGTCCTTTACGATTGAGTAGACTCTAAACCCATGAGCATACAATAGTTTGAAGAGGGAAATACAAATGCGAAAGAATGAAAAGGCTCAGCCAGGATTGCACTCAAGAATATTCATGTTTGAAGTCCAAGGTTCATCCCTTAACTGTCATGTTTTGTTTTGCTCCTAGTGATGCAATTTGGTCCCACCCCCACATAATATCCAAATTCAATTGAATAATCGATTTTCATGAAACTAGAATAAGAAGTTGGAATGGATTGGAGCTACCGGAATGACTTTGAAGTACCGGCACCACCAAATGCAAGATTTCCATGTACAAAATGAGTCCGACACAACATTTAGTAAACCCATTTTTTCAACCAATCTTAACAAGCCTGTTATTTCTCAAAGGTGTTTTTGGTCCTAATTTGAGAAGTTTGATTAAATGTTTGAATGATGGTAAAGGTCCAATTAAAATCCATACCTTATATATGGCTGTATCTTCAGCATTTACTCCCACGCTATTTCCTTGGCTTAGTTATACTTTACATGCTTCTTCGCTTGCTAAACTGTAATACCAATCCCAATTTTATTCACTACTTGTGATCAAAATAGGAAAATTAATGAAAATTGCACAACTGGAATGTAATTGAAACCTCAGGTTAAGCGAAAATGGAGGACAAAGAAGAAGAAGCTTTTGCCTGAATCAAAAGGAAAAACCATTAGATAACGAGCCGATCATCGACGGGTTCAATTTCTTAGGGTTCTAAGGATGCTTTTTCACTCAAGTGTGCAATCGCATACTGTAACTCGCTCTTCAGAGTTTGCGAATCAAAATCGATCTATAATCCTGATCTCTTTAGCTATAATTTGTTGCACCGACAAACTGTAATTTGCTTTCGATAGAACTCGCAAGCTCTTTTGCCTTCGATAGAAATAGTCGGAACGATGACAAGCTTTTAATTGGATGGCTAACAAAACAAACTATTGTTGGCACTTGAATTTTCTCGATTGGTATCTCGGGAAATTTTGTGAATTATAAAAGATTGCAAAGACTCGGGTCGACCTAGTTTGACCGGGATTGACCCGGCCCATTAGGCTCAGCTAGATAGAGCTCGGCCCAATTCTACCTTAGGCCGCGCTTTTCTACCGCTGAAATTCTCATGCCACGTGGCACCTCCCCAACTGTCGGTATCTGACAAGCTAAAATGGCCAATATAGACGTACTTTCCCGAGTATGAAGTCACGCGAAGGTAGACTCGGCCATTACTTGAGGGGGTAGTTTGGTCTAATTACTCGTTAAAAGTGTGGCATTAGTCGTAAACTGCATTGTCACCGGCGATCAACAAGATGCCGACATCCAACACCATTGAGTCAGAAAAAAAAGTCAAAGTTGGCCACGTCAGCCGTCAAAGATTTCGGACAGCAAATAGTCTTGTCTACGTTTTTTTTCTTGTCTACGTTAACGCTCCACTACGAAGTTCATGCAAAATTTTCTGTTTTTCTGACTAGGGACCGACCCGGAGCCATGTCGCCACCGTTTCCGGCTCACCTCACCTACCTAACTCGGCAACGCCCCTATTTGAAAGCCGTTCGCCAACTCCGGGGGTGGCGGTAATTATGGAGGAGAAGATGGCGCCGACCACCGTGGAAAATGTTGGAGTTGGCGAATACTTCGGGGACCCTTATTTCTCATACCAGGCATGCTCATGTGAGCTTAAGGAAACCGAAGTACGAACCGACGACATGTGACCTCTACGCATGGAATGTTAGGGGTCCTGCTGCCTGGACAGCGGGCTGGGGTTCGGGGGATTCGGATAGGCTTGGGCGGATGGGGGCAGCGTTCCCGAAATAACATCGGGTCAGTATGTTTAGGCTTGTGTTTTAAGCTGACCCGTTTGTTGTGGGATCAAAGGGATTCGGATAGATTTGGGCTTTGAGCCCATTTTAAGTCATATATATTGTACTCGTATGAAAAATTATTGTGACAAGTTGTTGTGGTTGAAAACCTAAATATTATAGTGGAATCCTTTTGCAGGATGTAACCTTATTTTGAGGTGAACCTGGGTAAACTCGTGTGTCAATTTTTTCTATTATCTGTGTGATTATTCTGATTCTGCTTAGGATATAACCCATCAGAGATCAGGGGCCTCAGTTTCACGTACCCGGGGATCGACGGCCATCCTCCGCCTGGTTTCAGACCTCTCATCGACGACTTCTCTCTCGCCCTTGATTCTGGCGACTGCTGTCTCCTCATCAGATCCAACGGCGCAGGTTCGTTTCAGCTCAAGCCTGTCTTCTGCAAACTGCCCAGTCTTGTCTTGAATGTCTCTGTGTTAGTAGTGGATCATTACATGCCGATCTCAGCTAGTGGAAGACGTGGATCTCAGTGTCCTGTTGAGAAAATGATATTAGGGGTGGCATGTATAAATCCACAAAGAAGAGCTGAGCTAATCAAGGAGAAGCAATAACTTTCAGGACAGAAAATGATTCAAAAATTTTCAGAAACCAAAAAACCCTGCTGTATTTTTAAGTACCTACCAAATGTACATGCTGGACATTAATAAAGCTTACACAAAAGGTATATATGCTAGGATTTTTATTATTTATGAAAAAGTAGCTGACTTGGTCATTTACTTTTTTAGGTGCTAGACATTGATTTATCCTGGAGAATGCATAAGGTTTCTGATGGACAGAGAAGGCGAGTGCAAATCTGTATGGGACTCCTCAAGCCATTCAAGGTGCCTGCACCTTTTGATTCATGCAAGCATGGAGCCCTAATAGTGCTTCGTTTCTAAAGATGACGCCCTGTTGTTACTGTTTTGGATTTTGAAAATTCTTGTTGTTTACTTTTGCAAGTTTTGGCCTTTTGGGTACTTATGGAGTACATCTTTCCAAAAGTAGGTGCTTCTTCTTGATGAGATAACAGTCGACCTCGATGTGTTAGTGAGGGCTGATCTTTTGAGGTTTCTCAGAAAGGAATGTGAAGAGAGAGGTTCCACAATTATCTATGCCACCCATATTTTTGATGGCCTAAATGACTGGCCTACACTTGTTGTATGTACTTCTCCCCATAAGTTCATCATTTCACTTCTCGATATCAATGCTGGGATAGACTATAAATGTTTTGTATGGCATATCCCGTGTGGAAGCAAATTTATCGCCCCTTTTGCTGCAGGTGTATGTGGCTCATGGAAAGTGGCAGTTAGCATTGCCAATTGATAAGGTTAAGGAGAACAGCAAACTGTCGCTTATGGTAACTTTTCCCTTCAAAGGGGTTTCGTTTCTTTTAACTTCACTTGGTTGACACAGATGTTCGATCTATTATATCATGACAACTATCTTCACAGAGGGCGGTTGAGAGTTGGCTGAGGGGAGAAAGATATGAGGAGTGGCAGAGAAGGAAACAGAGGAAGGCAAAAGGTCTCTCTGAGTATGAACAGAAAATCGAAGGAAGCCGGGTCACCGGTGATCCGGCTTGTGTTGCTGCACGGCCGTTGAATAACGGTTGGGCTGATTGAAGGTTGCACTCGACCATTGCTGGTGAAGAAAGTTACTTCTTGAGCTCAAACAGAGTTCTCAGACGGTAGTCAAGCACAGACATCCCCAAAACTTTTCAAGCAGAATAATTCTCTCATTGATGGAAAGTTGGCTTCAGAGGTTTCACTAGTTGTGCCTTCAGTTTATCTGTAGATTTCATAGTCTAGGAAAACCATCTAAAAGGCAGAAAGTGTACAATATCTTTTTCCCATTTTGGCTGAAGAAAGTATTCAAAGCATTTTGCTCTTTCGTTCGACTATTTCGGTTACATATTCTTTTCATTTGTTAACTATATTTTTTCGTATGTTAGGCTTTGCAAGTTGTATCAAGCCTTTTTCTATTCAACCAGTACTAATTTGGCACCTGGGGGATGAATTGTATCGTCTTGTCTATTGCTGAAAACTAAGGAAAGTTTGATTCTGCATTTGGAAAGATTTTTCATCGCTCTGCTTTCTGAAGCGTCTTGTTTTCTGTTCACTCAAATGCAAGCCTGAGTGGCATTTACATGCCAAATGAATTTGGATCTGCCTGATCTGTAAGACACGGCAGTGAGTGATCGTCATTGATCATGAATCAGAACGGAAGAGCTTGGAGTGGTTTTAGAAGTGAAGAGCACATTGCAGCAACTGGATTTGATTCTTCCATAATTTAATAGCGTGCTATTTCTTAATGCATGATACATAGATTAAGCTCCTTGCGTTTGCATCAGAGCTAAGCTTGACAGAGACCTGAAACCTCAAAGACGCAGAAGATACATAAACATGATCAAGATGTCTGAGAACTAGCGAAACAGCACCAAAACTTTGTTAATACCCAATATAGAAGTCGAATTAAATCATCTTCTTGTATGCTAAATACTCAGTTGTGATTTGTGTTGATCGTCGCCGCCATTTCTGTGTGCCAAGGTTTTGTCCCTGACACAGCAGAAGCTACTACCAAATTAATTGAGAAAATTTAATAATGAAAACTCGTTCAATAAAACATGAATGAAATACAAGTAGATCTTCAAATTTGACAAAAAAAACAATTACATGTACAAGTGCCCTAGTGATGACTAAAAACAAATCACGCCTAAGATAATATCTAATTAATTCATTGTCTTCTGAGCTATGTCTCTCACAATGATTTGACAAAGAAAGTATCGTCATTGTCTCTTCTTCACGTTCGGCACATTTGGCTGAAGTCAGTTCTAGCAATAACTAATCATACTTGAAACAGTCATTTCCAAATATTTCATACTCAAGTTGCCCCTATTATCTTCCAATCGGTAGCTAGTACTCAACGTGCACTCTAATGATATTAAAGACGCCGGTGGGGTCAATAAGTCAGGAACATGGTAAAAAGAATTGGAAAATGCAAAGTTCTGCTCTTTCACCACTTCTGAACATCAATGCTGTCTTTGCCAACTCTTTGAATGTACTTGAAGTAGTTTGTTCGAGTAAGTCTCAACCTCACTGGTAGATTACAACTAAAAGCTAGTGGATATCGGGGGAGTATTCTTCTTTTTCACGAGGCAAGTTACGATACGAATTTCTGGGCATTGCTTGACGAGGGTGTCATCTCCATTTATAGGGTGGAGTTCGTCGAATCAATTGGTGTTGCATTATACATACTTCGGTGCCAATTCCTCACCATTGCCAATATCTGCTTCACTCGGACCTCCTCACACTGTCCCAAATTTCTGTATGCATTATACACAACCAGAGTTTCGAGTCCCTCGAATTTGAACCTTAGTCCCTCGACATCGTTGCCCCTCTATGTCTCTCATCTCTCGTCCCTATCCGCAGCGACCTTGAACACGTCTCTGTCTATTCGCGCACACCAGGCGCGGCATGACCAGAGTCGGAGAAGAGGTGACGACAATGAGCTGATATCTTATCCTCGCCTCTGGTGGAGCTCGACAGAGATCTAGAGCTGGACTTGACCTCAAATCTAGGTCATGACTGGGTGGGATTTAGGCAACTCGGTGGTGGCCATCGAGCTCGAAGGTGACGCAGGATCGCCGGTGACATTGGGGGCGAGGGACAACCACTGCAGCATGACTGGGAAAATAGAAAATTTGGGGTTTGAGTGGATGGTTGGGATGATTTTGGTTTAAAGTAATATGCAAATCACTCATGCTCAAAGTCTCAACCAGATCTTGTCAACAAGGACAAGAGGAAAGAAGACCATAACGAGTATTGCTCACTTTACAACTCAGGATATTATCTCAAATCATTGTCATAGAGGATTTTAAAGTATTTCTAGTCCGTGGATATTTTATAAAGGGTAAAAAAAAAAAAAGAGAGAGGAGAGAACTGAATACCCGACCTAAAGTAACCTAACCCGAATCGCATTTTCGGCTCGGGACATATTCGGATCGAGTTTTGGTTTGGGATAGAACAGACATACAGTCCATACTCGAACCGAACCGTTGACATCCCTAACTGACGTCATGTCTAGAAATGGAACAACGGGGTTGCTTAACGAATAACTATTGGACATTGTATCATTGAAAGCCTATTATTACTGCAACAACCTTCTAATTTCTGTTCTTTGTTATGTCCTAATGTGTCGACAGAAAAGGTCCGTTGTACACCTCCATCTTCAGCCCTGTGTCGACAGCCATTTTCCGTTGTACAAATTGCAAAGTTCTATGAGGTAAGGGCAACGAAGCAGGGCAAGCAAGAATCACCGACGAGGTGGAAGCAGCAGCCATTACGAGAAAGAACTCGGAGTCATGGCTTCATTTGCATGTAAACGGCGAAAGCCGGCAAGATCCAAACTGATGTTCATGAGTTGCTTAACTAATGATCCAATATGATTCAACTTCTCAGGTCGTAATTTCTCAAATTCTATTCGATTGCACATGTTGACACCTCAAGAATCAGTAATCTTGGCATAATTGGAGAGCAGTCCTTCATTGAAATTGATTTACTTGAAAGACACCCGCTTGAGATCTCATAACTTTGAATATTTAATTAGGCCTAAGCATCATATAAATGTATTAACATGAATTGGTTTGACCAAGCCTATCAGGCCTAAATGGGCGGGCTTGAGCCTAAGCAAGGAAAATGCTTGTCCAAGGCCGCCCGGATTATGCATCAAGCCTAAGTGCCCAATAAGCCATCAAGCTTGTGATAAGATCTATTAATAGGATAGGATTGGATAAAAGCCTCTCAAAAATAAAATAAACAACTGTATAAGGCCCATGATGATTGCCCTCTCTAAATCTCAGTGGCCTGACATTCACTTAGCCGAAGGAACCATCAAAGTAATAGTCACTTGTGAGACAACGATAACTATCATAGTTGAAAAGCGGTGATCATTGAGATTGGAGATGATAGGTTTTAGGATGGGTAGGTTCTACATCAAAAACTTGGAAACTATCTTGTTAGAGTTGGTTCTCTTAAGAACCGGCCTTGAACCCAAATTGGCTAGTTTCTCCTGAGTTGGCATGGGAATCAGGGCCAACTTTAATGGGTTGCGCTTTTTCCACTTCTCTTTTGACTTAAACACTCCATTTTTCTATGTTTTGACCATATTTATTTCTTATGGGGCTCACCACTTCTGGTATAACTCTAGAATAGTGATATTTTTTTAATTATCCGGTCCTCCTTTTTTTTCCTTGCGATCCCACTTTCCTTTTTCTTCTTTCTTTCCACGCCTTTGACGTCTCGTTCTTCGCTCTTGCAAATCGTCTCTATATTTTCTCTTTGGTAGGCCATTCTCTTTCGCCTCGCACTCCTTCTTCTTTTGTAAATCTATTTTGCATCTGCAATCCCCAAAAGAACTGCTTACTTTAGCAATCCGCACCCTCCTCATTCGCTACCGAAGGTACGGTTCTGGCGAAAGCTTGTTTTTTCCATTTTAGTTTTCTTGGTTTCAAGTCATGCTCATTCCGGTTGCTATCGAGTATTTCTTGATATCTTTTCTTAAAAATGAATTTGACTTTTGGATTGTGGAAATGCTTGATTTTGTTATTCAATCCCGCGTTTAGAGCGTAGAGTGCATCAAAACAGTGTCTATGAATTAATTGTGCAGTTGCTTTGAAGTCTGTAGCATACTTGCGTCTTATAGACTTTTGCTTCCTCTGGGTTCAATTTCTTAATATCGTTTTTATAAGTTCTTCATCATCAGTTTGGGATGCTGTTGTGGTTTCTCATTAATTGACTTGTTGAAAATAACGATACATGATATGCTTAATCTGGTTGTTTGATCTCAGGGGAATTTGAGGTAATCTATTTTATTTGACGACAATGGAGGCCAAAGGGGATTTGCTAGAGGGGAGAACTAAGATGTCAAGAGCGTGGAAAGAAAGAAGAAGAAGGAAAGTGAGACGCGCAAGGAAAAAAAAAGAAACAAAATAAAAAGAGTTGACCAAATAAGTTAAAAAAGATCACTTTTGTAGAATTGTACCAAAAATGGTGGCCCCGACAAATGATAATATGGTCAAAACATAAAAAATGAGAGTGTTTAAGTCAAAGGAGGAGTAGAAAAAGCGCGACTCACTTTAGTTTATATAACTATTATTTTTAGATACATGCAATGTGAATAATTTGTGGCATAGTGATTAAGGTCTTGATGGATTTCCTAAACTTCCTAGGTTTAAAACCCGGCTTCAACGTATCTATCATGTTTTTAACAAAGAAAGGAAAAAAGAAGAAGAGAGATAACCATTCTACCCAAGAAAAGCCCATTCCTGATTCGGTTCCTGAGTTGAATTATTTTGATTGGTGACCCCTATCTGAAACCACCACACATTAGAAAGAAAGAGTCTCATCTCCATCACGGCTTGACACCACCGCGAGGGACTTCATATCACATATAATATGATAAATAATTACGCAATGCACAGTTGCACCCACTATGGCGGAAAAGGAAGAGCTTCACTTTACCCTCACCAAAGAGTTTTCTCAAATGTGTTTTTCACCCTTTCCTAATTGAACAATGATTTTAGCTTCATGGTCAGCATTTTTCATTTGAAGTCTGTCTATATAATCTAATGGGACTTACAACAAGGAATTAGTCATCATCCTTTTTTCAGATGTTGGCATTATCTTTTACACTAGCAAAAGAGCACATCATATGCGTCTAGAAAAATAAAAGAAACATTTTTTTTTATGGGAGAGA